AAAAAAAAAAAAAAAAAAAAAATTTATTTATTGTCAGCTCTCTCAATGGTGGGGCCGAGACAAGCCGCATGGTAAGAGATTCGAGGGGCTCAGCTCGGCCATTTTAACTCGCCTACCCTAATCCCAAATGATGTTATAAATATGCAATACAAGGATATTTGGATGGATTTTGTCCAAAAATTAGTTATTTGATAAAGAAAAAAAATAAGGAATGAACCTTCATTTGACCATTACTTAGAAGGGCAAAATGGTTCCCTATATTTTCTCAATTTAAAAATTAAAATGATTAAAAAGAACAAAAAGAATAAGAAAAGTATTAAAAATTAAAAACAAAGAGATAAGTCAAAAAAACACTTCTCCCCAATTCCCACCCTACCAGCTCCACCTCCATCCCCCACATCTCCATTGACCCGCGTCATTATCACTACCACCACCTATTCCATTCCTTCCAAAGATCAAAAATCTGGTTTGGTTCCGTGAACAAAACCAAGTTTTCGGGATTCACGATAAAACTAAGTCAATTCTTTAGGTTGTGGCGAGGTGGGAGTGAGTGAAGATGAAAATTTTCTTATATTTTTTCAGTTTATCAATTATGCTAATCAATGGATAGTTAAAAATAACAACTCAATGAAAAGAAGTTGGAGAAATGAGTGTGACAATGAGCAAAAGTTAGAGACCTTCGTTGCAATTAGAATGTGGCATACCAACTAAAAGTTGTGGTTTGAATATAGACACTCATTAGAAAAACTAGAGAGCGAGAAATCTCCCATCCTCTACATTGTCCCGTCCTGAGTAGTCAATGGGACAGGAATGGGGACATGGTCTCTACCTTGAATTCATTAAACATGTCCCAAATCAATATATTTAACTCTACTTTCTTGTTTTAATTGTAAATTGTATTTTTTTAAAACATTAAATTAATTAATGATCAAAAGGATGGGAATCTTTTAATCCCGTCCAACTTCCGAAATTCCCGATGGAGTGGGAATGGTACTTGTACGTAAATCCAAAATTTTTTCTCACTTATTATCAACAAATGCTCGAAAAAAAATCGCTGTTCAAAATATCATTTTTACACAATAATGATCATCAAAACAGGGGCAAAATTTGAAATTCTGCATTTTTATTTAAAATTTAGAGACTTGGAATTTATACATTTGTAAGTACCATTTTTGTATCGTGGAATTTATGTGGACGACTTGCTTTCACTAAAATGGACATCTACTCAAACTTTATAAAATGCATACTTCATTTCCAACAATAAATAAATAAAATTGGGTTTTTAGATTTTATTTCATTGACAAGAATTTACCTTACACATATTTGAATACAACAAATGCTAAAATAACAACTTAATCTTCAAAAAATTCAACCACCAAAACTTTAACCTACATTATACAATGAATAGTCTTTCAATACATAATACAATTATCTCCAAATGTACTTGAACTAATTTGATCTTCATATACTTGACAAATAAACACAGCAACATCATCAGTAAGAGTGGAAGACCAATGATTTTGAACATAATTGCAAATTTGAACTCTTATATTTACTCTTGGACACACATTTTTGCCCTTTCTCAAGTCTTTTTCACTTTTTAACGTGTCCTCTAAAATGTGAACATAAGATAGCTTTCCTCGCATGATTGTGACGGCAACCTATATTAACAAAATGCGGTGTAAAATGTGGAGATATACGTTCTCTTAGGAGTTTTCAATACTTTCATTCAATAATTATGTAAATTTTGCCGAGAGAATTGAATGAGAATTTTTTTTATGCCTTTGATATGCAATCAAAAATGTTGTCACACAATAAATTTACAGATGATCGATATCATATGCAATAGAATCGTGTTTGAATTGTTAAAATCAAATGAATAGTTACATGCCATCCGTACTTTCAGATGGAAATATTTTCTTTTAAAAAAGGCAAATCAATCAGTGTTAACTGTTAAGAATATGGTACGACTATCATATGATTGTGATTAACTTAAAATAATGAAGCGAGTTGGACTTCATTAAAAAAATAAATTATCCTTAATGTGCATGGCCCACCAAAGTCCTTATTAACCTTACAGGTTTCATTTCTTTGATTTTTGGTATTTGTTTAATTAATATGAGTTGGAAACTCATTATCTTTCAATTATATAATGTTTGACAATTCAATGGATCCTACAAATAATTAAGGAAATACATATATATTTGCTTGTTTTTCAATCTAATTTAACTTAATTATATGTAATCAAGAGTCGAGTTCTTATCCCAACATGCTTTAGATAAATTAAGTACTGCAAAAGGCCCCCCGGGACATAATTCAGTGGTGCAAAGGATAGACGTGAGATGACAGATGCAGTGTGGGAATTCGATTTTCGAGACATGAAATTGGACTCCTTGTAGGCGCAGTGCACAGACAGCTCTTATTCCCTGATTTGTTGGTGGCACATCCCGCGATTTACCTTCCTCACAAAGCTCTAGGGACGAAACGGTGGGGACCCTCAACGTTGAGATTCAACTTTTTTTTCTTTAATTAAGTACTACAAAAGATCATTGGCTCAAAAGCATATCTCAACTTGGACCATCAATTCCATACGAATATTAGCCTCATATTGTCATACATAGGTATAGGACACACTAGGTCATCTTTTGTATCACATTCAATAATTTTTGGATCCAAACATGAGGTGATTATAGGGTACTAAATTTCAGCAATTTGTTATCCTGACAAATTCAAACGTAGGTATGCACGAAAATTTTTAAAAAGAAAAATGTAAAAAGAAAAAATAACCCCGTTCTTTATAATTGTTCTCTTCTTAAAATGAAAACTATTTTGAACCTTTACGGCTTGAAAAATGATAGATTTGATATTTTGTCCGATACATTCTAGTTGACTTCATAGTTATTATCAATCCCAGTTGTATTTTGTTAAATTAATTATAAATAACTCCAAAAAAGATCACCTGAGGTTGATTGTATCGACCGACCCATCTGCAAAAATTTATAAGAATTATTAAAAAATATTAAGAGAAAATGATAAAGTAATAACAAAAAGTTTATTAAATAATTTTGCTAAAGATAAATTCAAAATTCTTAACTAAAGAAACATCGCAACAAGCGGACAAATTGAGACCATGCATTTGCAACTAATAGAAAAAACATTGTGGAGCACAAAGCATGTCTGCTGAGCAGAGTGCGTGTAAAAAATTAAGAAAAATATGTCATGACATATTAATCGATTCCAATTTCCTATAAAATAGGAAGTTCATAATAAAAACATGTTAAAAACGTTTTCGGGCTACTTATTAAGAGTCTGTTTATCTTCCATTATGTGATAAATTATAGTCTTGAATAATATTTTTTGGAGAATGTGTGGTTAAAATTTAAATTTTTTTTATTAATTTGTGTTTAGAATATGTTATTAAAAAAAGGTTGGCCCCCACCGTCCCACCGCTAGAATTTTGTGAGGGGGTAAATCGCAGGATGTGTCTCAGTAGGTTGAAACAAGTGCTGTCTGTATACTGCACCTACAAGGAGTCCAATTCCATGTCTCATGAATCGAACNTTATTATTATTAGTATAATATTCTTCTTATGTACTTCGGTTTTAAACTAAGTTTCTACTGTGGATGCAGGCATTCTAAAGTTCGCAACAATGCTTCTCAGAGTATGTCTACCGTAAATAGTGAGGGTGTCACCTCGGTGAATACCAACCACAATGCGGGACCTGCCGAAGCGCCATCAATTCCTGTAACAAGCAATGCATTAGTTCCAATTACTTCTACTGCACCAGTGCAGACCTCAAAAGAGTTGGATTTTATAGACCTCTTGAGCAATGCATTAGTTCCGATCAGTGTGTCGAATGATCAAGCTGAGCAGCAGAAACCGGATATATCTCGTCCTTTACAATCGGCCACCGAAGGGATAACGTATTCCTCTGAGGGTAACCATGCAAACCCAACTCCAGCCTTCAACAGTTATATAGCTCCCTGGGCTCAACCACAGCCTCAACCCGGACTCCAATCTCAGCCACAGTTCCCACCTCAGCCTGGTTTCCAGCCTCAACCCCCGTCCCAATATTCACAAGCGGCATCACAACCACAACCACAACCTCAATCCCATTTTCGACCTCAACATCAGCTAGAACCTCATCCACAACCTCAATTTCCTCGGTACTCCTCTAGCTACCCCCCTCCACCATGGGCAGCCACTCCTGGTTACTACAGCAATCCCAATCCAGCATCTAGACCTTCTTACATATATTCAATTTCAACACCTGCTGCTTCATCTATGCCTCTGCAAGAGACTAAATCTTTGCAACAGGTCAACTCGTTCCCTGCCCGAGAAAGTTACGTGTCTATTAATGGAGATACACAGATCAGCTCAAATCCTCAATCCACTGCTCCTCCTGGGCAGAAGCCCTTCATTCCATCATACAGATTATTTGAAGATCTTAACGTGTTTGGTGGTGCAGACGGAAGACTTAAAGCGACAAATGACCCATCTTCCAGCTTGTCGGGAAACAGCAGCCAAAGTATGGTTGGCGGAAGAAAGTAAGCGTGGTTGATAATACTCGGTTTGGTATGATGGAAAATCTTGAGCAATCAGAAAGAAATTCTGTCAATATGATGTACATCTCTTTCTTTTCAAAGTTTTTTCCCATCTAGAAGAATATTGAGTGAGATGTTAGATTGATTTAATTATGGTCTTGCACTATAGTTTTGTACTAGCAGTATCAAATAAGTGCACATGTTAATCAGATTCCTTGATGCCTGCAAATGCTCATGTTTTGTTCATCCAATACCACCATCAATATTTTGATCTTCTTGGTTTAGGCGGTGTCTTTGTCAACTTGTTGTCGAAAAGGGATCATAAGAATCCTCAGTATTTGGCAGGTAAGATTGCTTGATTGTCCTTAATATTAATGCCCTTATAGTGACATGTATTAAATCAGTGTTTGTCTTGATTAGATACGAATGTACTGGTTAGGTTGAGCCC